TTTGCTTACATCTTTGTTCTCTTTTGAGAATCAAACAAAAACAGATTTAAATAAAAAAAGAATGCAAACAAACAAGTGAAATGAACTAAATAGCTGAATTGCTTTTGATTCACTGGCAGGAGCGACAAGTGAGGAGGAGCAAAAAGTGAACAAAGAGAAAGCGTAGAGGACAGAGAGAGTAATGAACAGGAAGAACACAGAGAGACTCAAGAAGATGGAAGAGAGGCTGTAGGTTAGCCATCAGGGCCCTCTGTGAGGGCCTAAGATATTCTACAAATAATATTTAAAAACATTAAAACAAATTATATATTTTTTAATATATTTTTTTAGTTATATTTTTCATTAGTTTTACCAAAATAACTTGATTTAATTGTATTTAAAATAACATTTCCAAAGAAATAAATCCTTCGAATCTGCCTATTCAGTTTATGTTGGAATGTGAAGAGTTAAATGAAAGAAGCTCGTCTCTGCGAGTCTGTGAAGAGAGGAGCTGTTGGACGTCCAGGCGGTCCAGCTATGAATTCACAGAGGGTTGCTATAGTAACTGAACGAGAGAGCAATGTCAAATGACAGTACAATTGACCAATCATATCTTCCCGCTAAATGGGTGGGTGTTATTATCGCGGACTTTATGACAAGTTCTGCCCGCTGTGAAACGTTTCTTGTTTCCATAGCAACAACAACTTCCTGTCAACAGCGTTAACTCGCCTTCAAAATAAAAGCATGCCAAATTACACTTAAGACATACAACTGCAACGAAAGTAACAAACACAATGCAATATCCTTTTCAATTTCAAAGAACACAAATAGGGTTATTTACAGGTGTTGTTTTGTGTGGTAGAGGGTCGCTTTCATTGATGCGTTTTGCACCCCGGGCCGTTGTTTTGATATTCCGCTGAAGTATACGTATACGCTGCGACGTAATAACTCGAGGGAAGGGGTGGGGGTCAGAGGGCCTAGGTATAAAAGTCACGGCTCGCCACTGATGTTTTGTGATCATTTTAGCCTCTTCTGCATGTCCAGATCTAATAACAATCAACTGATTCTTATTATGTATTACACTTTCAAAATAATTGATGCTGACATTGTCAGCCCACTGACATGGTTTGAAATCGATATATTATCCAATTTGTGACCCCCCATAGGACTTAAAAAGCACCATAACTAGATCATGAAAATCCCAAAAATCTCGGGGGGTATCCCCCGAACTCCCCTAACATGTTTGGACCTCGGTATTTAGGAAATCCTGGATACGGCCCTGCTCAGATCCTGTACTTTAGTAAAAGTAGAAGTACTCAGATCTTGTACTTTAGTAAACGTAGAAGTACTCAGATCTTGTTCTTGAGGAAAAGTAGAAGTACTCAGATCTTGTACTTGAGTAAAAGTAGAAGTACTCAGATCCTGTACTTTAGTAAAAGTAGAAGTAGTCAGATCTTGTTCTTGAGGAAAAGTAGAAGTACTCAGATCTTGTACTTGAGTAAAAGTAGAAGTACTCAGATCTTGTACTTGAGTAAAAGTAGAAGTACTCAGATCTTGTACTTAATTAAAAGTAGAAGTACTCAGATCTTGTTCTTGAGGAAAAGTAGAAGTACTCAGATGTTGTACTTGAGTAAAAGAAGTAGGCAACTCCGATCTGTACTTTAGTAAAAGTAGAAGTACTCGGATCTTGTACTTAATTAAAAGTAGAAGTACTCAGATCTTGTACTTGAGTAAAAGTAGAAGTACCAGAGTGTAGGAATATTCTGTTTCAGTAAAAGTCCTGCATTCAAAATGTCCCTCAAGAAAAAGAAGATATACAATAAAAATATTACAATTAAAAGACCTGAATTCAAAATATTACTTGAGTAAAAGTACACCAGTATTATTATGAAGTAAGTCAGTGTGTAAATAAATTCAGAGCTCTCTCAAATGCACATGTAGTTTGGAAGTGAGGTCACTAGAGGGCGCTGGTGTCGTGTTTGTTAAAAATCATGGATGCAATGTTAAAGAATAATAATACCAATTAAATAAATATGGAAATACAAAGGAATAAATACAAATTGTAAAAATATCGAGGAGAATATGTTTAAAAAATAAAATTAAAATATATAAAATAAAGACATTTATAATATTGAAAAAATATATAAGTAACAAAAATCAACAAATGAAATGGAAGTTAAAGCATTAAAATAATTCTTTATTTTGAGGTAGCACACGCACACGTGAACTTCAGAGTATGTACAATATGCAGAGTATTTCAGCAGACAAGTAGTTTCCTTGATAACATCTTTAGATTTTCTACAGGAATTCAAAATATAAATACAAATACAAACAGGTTTCTCACGTCATCTGAAGGTAGAAATAAATATCCATCGGCTGTTTATTCTGAAAGCTTCATACAATTATACTAATGTGTATTCATGTGATCAATACAAACACAATGAGCTGATTTGTTGGACTATTCGATCACAGCCCTGCTAATGAGAACTGACTCCACACATGCAGTCAGGTTTCTCCAGTCTAGCTGATGGAAGGAGTCCGTGTCGAGGCGTGGGAAAAGCTATCTTTGTAAAGATTGAACAGAGCTGTAACCACATATTTTTTACTGTTTAATCTGCCATATCATTTATCGTTTAATCAATTCTCTGTAAACATATTTAAAATGAACTTGGTTCTTCTGACCAATCGGTGAAAACGTTATGATATTTAAAATTATGAAATGTTGCCGTAGGTGACAGCAAATTTGCTCGAAACTCAAACTAGATGATGCTTGACATTTCTGCTTTGAAATGATTTCAATAGAGCGGTGCAGTGATGACGTATTTTTGTAGGCCGACCTGGAAATAAGCTGCTGGTTCCCTCGTCAAAAAAGCAACGGGATTTCTCCATAGGATTTGGAATATTGTAAAAAATAAGATCTGTGGAAAACGAAGCTGTTTGATAAATGCACGTTTTGTTCAGCCGGATAATCTCCACATGTCTACCCTACTTTTATAATGTTCTAATCATAAATCTAATTGCCAGAAGCTAAATGCTAACGTTATGCTATAAAGGAACTACGGCCGAGTCCAGCAGCACGACTTCAACGCCACGCCAACTTCAGATCCATATTCAAACACACAGATTCTAAATGGTACAAGTTGAAGCGTTTGTTTGAACACTTTGCAGGAGGCAGGGACTTGCTTTCAAGCAGAACAGAAACTAACTTAGAGGAGTGTTCACGTGTTCGGCGTAATGACGTACAACGACCTCCACGACTTCTGTAGTCCTATTCAGCCACTTGGTAACAACCATCGTTTCTCAGACACGTCCACTCTTCAGAAATCACCAGTGGGGTCACTGCTGATGGATTTAATGTCGTAGAACCAAACGTGATCCGTCTCTTCAACGTGTCTCAACCACAGACCTTATTTCCTCAAAAATCCCATTGGCTCTGAGACGAGGGAACAGGAAGTGGTGAAATGCTGACTCACTTCCGGGTTTTAGGACTCGATCCTGCACCACTCTATTGCATGGAGGCGAACGGGAACACTTCTCTGGTTAGTCGAGTCAGGAAGCACGGCATCTCCTTCTTCCCGGCCAGAGAGCCTCCTTGGGCCTGGAAGGTGAAGGCCACGCTGTGAGAGAGACGGGTCATCAGGCGGGTCAGCTCCATCTCACGGTTTCCTTCCTCCTGCAGCAAGCGGCAGAAAGTCTGCAGGAAGACCGAGCCCAGAGGGTGCATGAAGGCTCCGTACCCTGAGGAGAGGAGGAGGGAGGACGTCAGACCAGGAAACACTATAAAGGAACTACAGCACGGTCACATGACTTCACGCCACCACCGCTAAGCTAAAGATGGCTAATGTTGGGCTATAAAGAAACTACAGCACGGTCGCATGACTTCACGTCACCACCGCTAAGCTAAAGGAGGCTAATGTTGGGCTATAAAGGAACTACAGCACGGTCACATGACTTCACGTCACCACCGCTAAGCTAAAGGAGGCTAATGTTGGGCTATAGAGGAACTACAGCACGGTCACATGACTTCACGTCACCTCCGCTAAGCTAAAGGTGGCTAATGATGGGCTATAAATGAACTACAGCACGGTCACATGACTTCACGTCACCACCGCTAAGCTAAAGGTGGCTAATGTTGGGCTATAAAGAAACTACAGCACGGTCGCATGACTTCACGTCACCACCGCTAAGCTAAAGGTGGCTAATGATGGGCTATAAAGGATTTACAGCACGGTCACATGACTTCACGTCACCACCGCTAAGCTAAAGGAGGCTAATATTGGGCTATAAAGGATTTACAGCACGGTCACATGACTTCACGTCACCACCGCTAAGCTAAAGGCGGCTAATGTTGGTCTATAAAGGAACTACAGCACGGTCACATGACTTCACGCCACCACCGCTAAGCTAAAGGTGGCTAATGTTGGGCTATAAAGAAACTACAGCACGGTCGCATGACTTCACGTCACCACCGCTAAGCTAAAGGAGGCTAATGTTGGGCTATAAAGGAACTACAGCACGGTCGCATGACTTCACGTCACCACCGCTAAGCTAAAGGAGGCTAATGTTGGGCTATAGAGGAACTACAGCACGGTCACATGACTTCACGTCACCTCCGCTAAGCTAAAGGTGGCTAATGATGGGCTATAAATGAACTACAGCACGGTCACATGACTTCACGTCACCACCGCTAAGCTAAAGGTGGCTAATGTTGGGCTATAAAGAAACTACAGCACGGTCGCATGACTTCACGTCACCACCGCTAAGCTAAAGGTGGCTAATGATGGGCTATAAAGGAACTACAGCACGGTCACATGACATCACGTCACCACCGCTAAGCTAAAGGAGGCTAATGTTGGGCTATGAAGGAACTACAGCACGGTCACATGACTTCACGTCACCACCGCTAAGCTAAAGGCGGCTAATGTTGGGCTATAAAGGATTTACAGCACGGTCACATGACTTCACGTCACCACCGCTAAGCTAAAGGAGGCTAATGTTGGGCTATAAAGGATTTACAGCACGGTCACATGACTTCACGTCACCACCGCTAAGCTAAAGGCGGCTAATGTTGGTCTATAAAGGAACTACAGCACGGTCACATGACTTCACGCCACCACCGCTAAGCTAAAGGTGGCTAATGTTGGGCTATAAAGAAACTACAGCACGGTCGCATGACTTCACGTCACCACCGCTAAGCTAAAGGAGGCTAATGTTGGGCTATAAAGGAACTACAGCACGGTCACATGACTTCACGTCACCACCGCTAAGCTAAAGGAGGCTAATGTTGGGCTATAGAGGAACTACAGCACGGTCACATGACTTCACGTCACCTCCGCTAAGCTAAAGGTGGCTAATGATGGGCTATAAATGAACTACAGCACGGTCACATGACTTCACGTCACCACCGCTAAGCTAAAGGTGGCTAATGTTGGGCTATAAAGAAACTACAGCACGGTCGCATGACTTCACGTCACCACCGCTAAGCTAAAGGTGGCTAATGATGGGCTATAAAGGAACTACAGCACGGTCACATGACATCACGTCACCACCGCTAAGCTAAAGGAGGCTAATGTTGGGCTATGAAGGAACTACAGCACGGTCACATGACTTCACGTCACCACCGCTAAGCTAAAGGTGGCTATCGTTGGGCTATAAAGGATTTACAGCACGGTCACATGACTTCACGTCACCACCGCTAAGCTAAAGGAGGCTAATGTTGGGCTATAAAGGATTTACAGCACGGTCACATGACTTCACGTCACCACCGCTAAGCTAAAGGCGGCTAATGTTGGTCTATAAAGGAACTACAGCACGGTCACATGACTTCACGTCACCACCGCTAAGCTAAAGGAGGCTAATGTTGGGCTATAAAGGAACTGCAGCACGGTCACATGACTTCACGTCACCACCGCTAAGCTAAAGGCGGCTAATGTTGGTCTATAAAGGAACTACAGCACGGTCACATGACTTCACGTCACCACCGCTAAGCTAAAGGAGGCTAATGTTGGGCTATAAAAGAACTGCAGCACGGTCACATGAATTCACGTCACCACCGCTAAGCTAAAGGAGGCTAATGTTGGGCTATAAAGGAACTACAGCACGGTCACATGACTTCACGTCACCACCGCTAAGCTAAAGGCGGCTAATGTTGGTACAGTACAGGTGCAGTTTACCTGGAGCCGTGGCGTACATCACAGCTGTGTCTATGGGAACAGAGAGATGTTGAGTGAAGCTGCACTCGCTGCTGTCAGTGACTGAGTCCACCTCCACGCCGTCATCCAGAGCGCCCCCCCGACACGCCTGCAGGGAAACACTGTCATTTGATTTATTTTGAATGTGTAAAACAATAATACAAAAAATAAATAATGAAATGAAACATGAGAATCATGATACCGTACAAAAATACGACTGACTTACAAATGATATATAAACAAATGATCTACTTAATTACACATTCGAGAAGGGTTGGGAAGAAGTTATTAAAAACAATTGTTATTGAAAAACAAACAAAACAAAATCATAAAAACAACAAATAAATAAACAAACAAATACATGGAAGAGGAAAATGGTAATCAAGAAAAGATAAAATAACAAACCAAATACATAAATAAACCTTAAACACCCAATTATGATTAAACAATTCCATCCCTGTATCTTGTGAACATCATGTCCTTATACCTTTTTGTATTCTCCTCTGAGAGTCAATGAAACCTAACCCTGTTGTCATGTTCGTTCCTTCCCTCTTACTCTGGTGGTCCTGGTTTTAACTGCTCTTATAGAAACACAAAACCATATTGTATTGTCTATATCATTTGTATCTGTGTATATAAGTCCCTTTGTGAGGGCAACAAATAAATAAAAAGTTGGTCACAAAAAAGAAAAGAAACACAAAACCATGAATCATCACTGAATGTTATTTAATTCCCTTTTAAACTCTAGTTCACATGAAGAACTGCAGTGAATATACAAAGAAGAGACACTCAAATGTATTCAAAATGAACCTTTTCTCGATGTGTGTGTGCTCTCTGATGGATGGACATAATTTACGGTTAGCCATGCATTTCCTATGGGGGTCATTTTCGACCATGAACACCATAATTCAATGAAAGTGGCTATCAGCAATTGTGTATGTTTAAATGCCTCCTGTGGAGTATATCTGAAGGCCTTGAAGCAATCAAATATAAAACACAATATTTATGATCGATGGAAACACGGTCAGATTTGACCCGAACACGACACGGGTTAAAGAACTGGATTTATCTCCAGAAGCAGCGAGATGTAGCTGCTGATAGACAGTAACTGAGAAATCGGTTTCATCTACTACCGATGAAGATGTTCTGTGTGTGTGTGTGTGTGTGTGTGTGTGTGTGTGTGTGTGTGTGTGTGTGTGTGTGTGTGTGTGTGTGTGTGTGTGTGTGTGTGTCCTGTAGAGACCTGTATCAGGAACACTTTGGCCTTTTCCTCAAAGCACTCGTTGTCGAAGTAATTGTAAATGCGTGACAGAAGGACAGGTTTCCCATCAGCCCCGAACACACAGCCCTCGTCACCGTGAGACGACAAGACGGCGAGAAAACAATCCTTAACAGGGCGCCTGCTCTCTGCACACACACACACACACACACACACACACACACACACACACACACACGGTTAAACAATGCAGAAAGTATGCAATAATTACAGGACAGGATGTATGCTTGCTCTCTGTCAGTAAGGTGTGAGTGTGCGTGTGCGTGGGTGTGGGTGTGGGTGTGTGTATGTTGTGCAAGTATGTACATGACTGTGTCAGTGATGATGCAACATATACATATCTTGATGACAAGTACTTTTCCTCAACTCACGACAGAACATGCCATAATATAAAAAAATAACAATAGATTATAATAATATTTAAACAAATTAAAACAATAATATAATAATTATTATAATTCTAATAAATTAAATAAAAAACATGCCATTATGTTTTGCGAGGGAAAAAAATAACAACAAATAAATAATAATTAAAACAAATCAAATCACATTATTTACAGATTAAAACCAGTTATATAATATATATTTTATATAATAATAATCTACCATAGACACATAATTTAAATGTATACATATATTGCAGTTTCCAGGTTATACTAACTGTCATTAAAGTGTACAGCTGAGTGTTTACTCATTAAGCTTCATATACATTATACTTCATATTCACACGAGACATTTTCTGCTAATGACCTGCCTTACGGTTCAGTCTCTGAGCGATAACACACACAGCTGATAAACTGTTTATTATCTGGGTGTGTGTCACAAAGTGTGTGTGTGTCTTGGTGTGTATGCTTCAGCAAACACATCAAGGACACACAAAGACCAAGAGTCACAAAACAGTAAAACTTGATGATCAAGAGTTTTACATAATACTTTATATAATTATTAACTATGGAAAATGTCAGGTTTTACTTTCATTTGCATTATATAACCTGAGGATCTATTTCTAGGGATATTAAGTACGGAGGCCTACAGGTGCTGACGTGCTAGAAACTCTTCCATCAGGAGGAAGACGCTGCAGCTTCAGAAAGGATGCAGATAAAAAAACACAAAGGTTCCACATGAAGAAACATCTTCAGCAACTTGACAACACATGCAGCGTTTAGAGAACATTTAGCAACTTGAGGAGACATGGCAGCGTTTACTAAAAGCTGCAGAAACCAAACGCTGCAAGAAGCTCAAACACAACGGAGACCAGGGGACACTAAAGAGTGACGCACACAGCTGGGAAACCAGGGGACACTAAAGAGTGACGCACACAGCTGGGAGACCAGGGGACACTAAAGAGTGACGCACACAGCTGGGAGACCAGGGGACACTAAAGAGTGACGCGCACAGCTGGGAGACCAGGGGACACTAAAGAGTGACGCACACAGCTGGGAGACCAGGGGACACTAAAGTGTGATGCACACAGCTGGGAGACCAGGGGACACTAAAGAGTGACGCACACAGCTGGGAGACCAGGGGACCCTAAAGAGTGACGCACACAGCTGGGAGACCAGGGGACACTAAAGAGTGACGCGCACAGCTGGGAGACCAGGGGACACTAAAGAGTGACGCACACAGCTGGGAGACCAGGGGACAAAGAGTGACGCACACAGCTGGGAGACCAGGGGACACTAAAGAGTGACGCACACAGCTGGGAGACCAGGGGACACTAAAGTGTGACGCACACAGCTGGGAGACATGGGGACACTAAAGTGTGACGCACACAGCTGGGAGACCAGGGGACACTAAAGAGTGACGCACACAGCTGGGAGACCAGGGGACACTAAAGAGTGACGCCCACAGCTGGGAGACCAGGGGACACTAAAGAGTGACGCACACAGCTGGGAGACCAGGGGACACTAAAGAGTGACGCACACAGCTGGGAGACCAGGGGACACTAAAGAGTGACGCACACAACTGGGAGACCAGGGGACACTAAAGAGTGACGCACACAGCTGGGAGACCAGGGGACACTAAAAAGTGACGCACACAGCTGGAAGACCAGGGGACACTAAAGAGTGACGCACACAACTGGGAGACCAGGGGACACTAAAGAGTGACGCACACAGCTGGAAGACCAGGGGACACTAAAGTGTGACGCACACAGCTGGAGACCAGGGGACACTAAAGAGTGACACACACAGCTGGGAGACCAGGGGACAATAAAGAGTGACGCACACAGCTGGGAGACCAGGGGACACTAAAGAATGACGCACACAGCTGGGAGACCAGGGGACACTAAAGAGTGACGCACACAGCTGGGAGACCAGGGGACACTAAAGAGTGACGCACACAACTGGGAGACCAGGGGACACTAAAGAGTGACGCACACAGCTGGGAGACCAGGGGACACTAAAGAGTGACACACACAACTGGGAGACCAGGGGACACTAAAGAGTGACGCACACAGCTGGGAGACCAGGGGACACTAAAGAGTGACGCACACAACTGGGAGACCAGGGGACACTAAAGAGTGACGCACACAGCTGGAAGACCAGGGGACACTAAAGTGTGAAGCACACAGCTGGAGACCAGGGGACACTAAAGAGTGACACACACAGCTGGGAAACCAGGGGACACTAAAGTGTGACGCACACAGCTGGGAGACCAGGGGACACTAAAGAGTGACGCACACAGCTGGGAGACCAGGGGACACTAAAGAGTGATGTACACAGCTGGGACGGAGCGCTTGGTGACGTTCAGGATTATAAAACTGATCAACTGTCTCTGTTGTTGGAAATGTACCATTAAATGTTTTATGGTTTTATTTTAACTATGTGATCACATGACTCATTCTGATGTTACTGCTGATCTGCTGTAAGCTAGCTAGCTAACGTAGCTAACCTGGTCATTTCAGATATCCTGACAAACACAGTTATGAGACGACTGACTCTGAGACAGTTGTTCAGCTTTATAATCCTGAACGTCACCTAATATCAATTCAAACACCATAACACAATTCCATCAGATTAATGATAAAAACCTAGAGGACATTATTCAACTTCTGAAATCCTCCTCTTGCTGCCTTGATATTATTCCAACAGGATTTTTCAAAGATGTTTTGCCTTGCATGGCCTCAGATCTACTTCATATAGTAAACAAGTCTCTTCACTCAGGTATTTTTCCACAGGCCCTGAAAACTGCAGTCATTAAACCGCTCTTAAAAAAGAATAATCTAGATGCTTCAGTAATGAACAATTACAGGCCCATATCAAACCTCCCATTTCTAGGTAAAATCATTCAAAAAGGTTGTTTTTCAACAGTTGAGTAATTTCTTGCATTTAAATAACTGTTTCGATGTGTTCCAGTCAGGCTTTCGTCCAAACCACAGCACTGAGACTGCTCTTGTAAAGGTCTTTAATGACATCCACTTAAACACAGACAGTGGCAGAACTTCAGTGTTAGTATTATTAGATCTCAGTGCTGCGTTTGACACTGTTGACCACAACATATTACTCGACCGACTAGAAAACTGGGTGGGACTTTCGGAAACAGTTCTGAATTGGTTTGAATCCTACTTAAAGGACAGAAACAACTTTGTTTCTATAGGTAAATACACATCTGAGTTGACAAATAAGACATGTGGGGTTCCTCAAGGCTCCATCTTGGGGCCTCTTCTCTTTAACATCTACATGCTACCACTGGCTCAGATAATGAAAAACAACAAAATAAGATGAGACTATTCTCCAATTCAAACACTGAGTAAGTGCATTGAACAAATCAATGACTGGATGTGTCAGAACTTTCTCCAATTAAACAAAGATAAAACTGATGTAATGGTTTTTGGAGCCAAGGCAGAACGTATAAAAGTTAGCGCTGAGCTTCAGTGTGCAATGTTCAAAACAACAGATAAAGCCAGAAATCTAGGTGTAGTCATGGACTCTGACCTGAGTTTCAACAGTCACATTCAAACAGTTACTAAATCAGCCTACTATCACCTAAAGAATATATCTAGGATTAAAATGTCCATGCTTTTATCTTCAGTAGACTGGACTACTGCAATGGTGTCTTCACAGGTCTCACTAAAACATCTATTAGGAAGCTGCAGCTGATTCAGAACGCCGCTGCTCGAGTCCTCACTAACACTAAGAAAGTGGATCACATCACTCCTGTTCTGAAGTCTTTACACTGGCTTCCTGTGTGTCAAAGAATAGATTTCTAAATACTGCTGCTGGTTTATAAAGCACTGAATGGTTTAGGCCCAAAATAAATGTCTGACCTCCTGCTAAATGATTAACCATCCAGATCTCTCAGGTCTTCAGGGACTGGTCAGCTTTCTGTCCCCAGAGTCAGAACTAAACATGGAGAAGCAGCGTTCAGTTATTATCAGTGGCGACTGGTCATTAGGGGCAGGTGGGGCACAGCCCACCTAGTGTCAGCAGAAAGTATTAAAAATAATGATTACAACAAAATCCAAAAAATAAATTAAAAAATATATAAAATATATTTTAAGATCATGTTTAATCATCTGATTCGTCTGTACATTGCTGTTTTAGTCTGTGTTCTTCTAATTAGTGTCTACAGTGTGTGCCTATTGAGCTGTTTAGAGCCATGTGGGACAAAACCCGATCCTGCCCCTCCCTCTCCCTGTCTAAGTGAACGGTGACTGTAAAAACTACACTGCGCATGCTCAGAATATTTTCCTATTTAATGTGTGTGGCAAAAAATTAATGACCATAGGGGCATAGAGCTGCCATCCCCACCATACGTCATCTCACATCATTCAGAGCTGATTGGCTGTAAGTACGTGTGCCGCGAAAAGTGTGGTGTGTGAAGAGGAGACGAGAGAGCTGCAGTGAGGCGTCCTAAAACCCAGAAGCAAGCTGCGCATGGCTTCCCTCCACAAAAAAGCAATAGAGATTTTTGTCCAGAAGGATAGGTAAATGGACTCAATCTTCAAGTCAAGGTAAGACCACCATTTTATTGAAAATGGGATCTTACTAAGAGAGAACAATTCAATATTTAAATGATCAAATTAAATTGTTTGGGTATCCTTTTGTTGAACTGTCTGTTTAAAATTAATTGAAGCATCAGACAAAAAAAGCTTTTGAAAATAATATTATATTTTGATTTAGGTCAAAATATAATATTTGTAAACCTGAAGAGTCAGTGCCAGTGCCTCGCCAGCTATGAACCTCACTGCAGAAGCTTATAGACATCTAAGTTTTTTGTGCCCCACCACTTTTGTACATATAAAAACGCCACTGGTTATTATGCTCCAAATATCTGGAACAAACTCCCAGAAACCTGCAGGTTGCAACTCTGACTACTTTTAAATCCAGACAAAATACTTTTCTTTTTGCCGCTGCTTTTAATTGAACTATTCACATCTTAAACTGCACTGTATCTTTTATCCATGTATTTTTTCTTTTAATGTTTATTTTATTAGCTTTTCTTTTTAATGACTAATTTTAAATGCCATTTTCTTAATGTCTTTCGTTTTTTGTAAAGCACTTTGAATTGCCTTGTGTTGAAAGGTGCTATATAAATAAACTTGCCTTGCCTTGCCTTGCCTTGCCTTGCCTTGCCTTGCCTTGCCTTGCCTTGCCTTGCCTTGCCTTGCCTTGCCTTGCCTTGCCTTGCCTTGCCTTGCCTTGCCTTGCCTTGCCTTGCCTTGCCTTGCCTTGCCTTGCCTTGCCTTGCCTTGCCTTGCCTTGCCTTGCCTTGCCTTGCCTTGCCTTGCCTTGCCTTGCCTTGCCTTGCCTTGCCTTGCCTTGCCTTGCCTTGCCTTGCCTTGCCTTGCCTTGCCTTGCCTTGCCTTGCCTTGCCTTGCCTTGCCTTATGTGTGTGTGTGTGTGTGTGTGTGTGTGTGTTAGGCAGAGGTTGTTACCTTCATGAGTCTTTATAAACTTAGTATGTGTGTGAGCGTCTTACCTTCCAGAGTCTCAATACATTAAGTCTAACTGTGTGTGTGTGCGTGTTATTCAGTATGTGTGTGTGTGTGTGTGTGTGTGTGTGTGTGTGTGTGTGTGTGTGTGTGTGTGTGTTACCTTCCTGAATCTCTATCAGAATCAGAAACGGACACTAAAGAGTGACGCACACAGCTGGTTGACATGTACGAGGAATTTGACTTGATGTCATGGTGCATAACTATACATTAAGTCTGACTGTGTGTGTGTGTTATTCATTATGTTTTTTGTGTGTGTTTGTGGGTGTCTGAATGTGTGTGTGTGTGTGTGTGTGTGTGTGTGTGTGTGTGTGTGTGTGTACCTTCCAGGAACAGCTGGTAGATCTGGTCCCCGCTCAGGTCGCTGTGGATCTCCACTCTGAAGCCCAGCTTGCTGAGCGTTCTGTGGAGTTTCTTGGTGTCTCTCTGGGCTCCAGGCCTCCTCCCGAGCCTCACCCCGGGGTCAAACTGTGCCACGGACACCAGCACGGCCCTGTTACTCCCCCCCACCCTGCTCTCCCTCAGTCCTGCCCCCAGCAACATCCTCCGTCTTCTCCTGGGACTCTCTGCTGTTTGCTGTGCGGAAAAGTGTGTTCAGGAGTCAGTGTGTGTCTCTGCAGGCACACCATGAGTCACGGCGCTCTGCAGGTTGTTGCACGAGGAGACATGTGTCACAGCGTTACATAACGTTGTTTTTTTCCCCGCACATGCACGTCTTCCTCAGGTGTTTCCACATGATGACTCAGCGCCTCACCGGAGTAACAGGCTCTCTGTGAGGAGCTCATAAAACAAATATATATATTTTAAATCCGTGTTCATCCTGCACTCTCTTACACTAATTACATTGGACAGGCATCTGCGTTCATTCAAACAGACGCCCTTTTTTGACGGCAGATAACTGATTCATCTGGAAAGACAAGAAGTCAGCGGGGGCTTTCAAAGAGCTGTCACAATAAAGGACAGAAAGTGCAGTCTACTGCTTTGGATTTAACTTTCCGTAAAAACTACAAACTACATTTATCTTTGTAATCGTGTCTGTCATTAGAATAAAAAGTGAGGGGAAGGGAGTTCACTTTAGGCTTGCATAAGGAAGTCTAAGGTGCAACCAGTAACTGTTATATAACTTTTAATCAGGAAATCTCATTGAGCTAAAGAGTATGTACGGTGGCCAATAGGCGCAAACGAAAAAACCAAACAGTTTCCATCAGGAGAAACGTGCTGCAGCTTCAGAAACGATGCAAATATAAAAACACAAATCTTCAACAACTTACGCAGGATTGACTGATATTTAGATTGTAATTTTCCACTTCTACCAGATAACAGATTCAACCAGAACATCACCTCAACTCTTGTCCTCGAGCTTTCATCGAAGAACATGAAACAAAAACAAGAAAAGGTTTTGATTCAATAAAAGAAAGGTTTTGTCTGTTTTTATAAACTACAGGTCAGATAGTCGCAGCTAAAGTACTATCAGGACAGACATGCCGTTATCCTCACAACAGTTTTGAAAAGCTTTAGTTTGGTGTCAGAATGTGGAACAACTAAAACAAGAGGAGAAAACTGAATAACATTTGAAATGCGGGGAATGTGGCTACATGGCCGTCTTTCGGGGAAATGTGAGAGGAAATGGAGCCAAAGACACGTCATGTCCTCAAACACAGATCACTGAGATCTGGAAGCCTCACAGTGTTATAGCACTGGTGACTCTGATTCATATCTATTGGTTACACTCACTCACTGTGTACGATAAAATACCTTAAGCTCCACTGTTGCTATGTCACAAAGTCTAAACAGACAATGATTGTAGGTCATGGTGCAACAGACTGGTTAATGGACTGCATTTCTATCACGCTTTTCCAGTGTTTACCCTCTTGGCGCAGCATTTCACGATTCACACAATTCATAAAGCAGAAGCTGCTCAGAGAAACTAACACATATTGGCCATGCCATCAAGGCAAACTTGGGGATCAAACCCCCAACCTTTCTATTGGTAGACAGCGACTCTACATCACAGCCCCAGTCGCCCAAACTGCTGTCTGGACAACCTCAACTCTAGACATTAGATCCATCTCTGTGCAGCAGACTCAAGATATCAAATGTTCAGATCAGAAGTTTAAAAACCTACAGCATGGCTTTGAGATGAGTCCAAAACCCAAAGATTACCTGATAACCCCAACGCTTCAAAGTTTTCACTGATGATGAGATAAACAAGTTACGTCTGTCCGACCACCAATGAGACGCTGATGCTGAGGGTTGGCTCAGATCTTATAAAGCGGTGTCAGTGTTTGCACAGCACTCACGAGGAAACCTCCGAGCAGAATGGCTGCAGTCTCAGAGCTCTCCGTGCCGCTGTTCGCTCTCATCAGCAACATTCACTCTGAAGAACTCATCGTCATCCGAGAGGAAAGAGACTCTCTCACCTTCGAGCTCCCAGAGGAGGCCGGCTCCTGCCTGATCTCCAGATGTGTTGGTGAGGAGAAGCTGGTCCTGTGGAACACCTCTGACCTCTGGAACCAGAACTCCTCAGTACCTGAAGACCTGAAACAACGACTCGTCAGCGTGGCCAATACTTCTACCTACATGATCCAGAACCTGACCCGTTCAGACTCCGGCCTGTACCAAGAGGAGTGCTGGACTAAGGGCAAAGTGACTCATGAGAAACACATCACAATAACTGTTTGTGGATCAATAGGTGAGATCAGATATTAATACATAACTAAAGAAACAAAATACATGTCTTGTCCTGGAGCAGCTGACCACCTGGATGTCCAGTGGCTCAAACAGGAACATCGATATGAACAAGAAATATGGAACCGAGTTGTTGTGGACACTACGGCATCAGTGATGGACAATGATAGAGGAAGATACCAAGTGGTGGAAAACACATCAGCTCTACGTATATCCAACATCTCAACAACTACTTCCGATTGGTCAACTGTCTGGTGATGAACCAACAGCAGTGTGTCAGCAGTCAGCCTGTACAGTTTCTGCTGAACACAGAGTGGATGTATCGCTCAGTGGGAGACACGGCTGTGTTGCAGTGCCCTGTCACTGATCTCAGTGAAGACAAGCCTCCATATTGGGAGACTAGATTCTACAACGATGACCAAGGACAACCTGACTACACTGTGGGCTTAGTGTACCAAATCTACTCTCTGGTGTTAACATCGGTAACGTTGAATCACACAGCTATGTACTCTTGTAAAACCTTTTCAACTCTGAAACCCCCCCCCCCCCCCTGCTGTAGAGCTCTTCTCAGGGGGAAAAGAAGTCACGCAGTGAGATGCTCTGTGCTCAGTGTTCTGCTGCTGATGCTCTGTGTTGCTGTAGTCACTGTGACCCTGAGGACCAGAACACGGGACACTTGGGCCCATTCCCAAACCGCCCCCTACACCCTACCCCTCCGTTTGCGCGTTCACGCGGAGGGTCCGCCATATTGAGTGCTGTTCCAAAGCAACGAGTGTGGAGCGGTGCCGAGGGGGAGTGGGCTATCAAGCCCTCAAACAGCGAGTCTGCAGCGGTGCTGACTTGAGACCGGTCTCTACCTGACCGGAGTCCCGCTGTGTGTGTCCGTCAGGAAACACGCTGTTTACAAGTAGTTCCAGCAAACATCCACTGATAAACTGCGATGTTAACAACCTCATGATGACCTCATATGTTTTTAACTTAGGATCAAACCTGTGTTTAGTCTAGAAAAAGGTAAATGTGTGCATTTTATTATAAAGTTGTGTATATTTACAGACCGTTGCAAAAACTAAGAAGCTTATAAACATCAGGTTTAAAACTAAAAGAGCTTTGAAACACAATGAAAGATGTTTGGAGTTTTATTTGAGTTATTCATTTAAACTTTTTGTCTAAGAGATGCTGATTTGAAACCGTTGTTACATACAGTTACGGCACTTCCTGTTTCTGCCGGAGAGAGGGGAGGCCGTCCCAAAGCTTGCTGCTGTGTTTACTCCCTCCACCTGACAGGAGGAGCCTCGTTGAGCTGCGAGTGTGGCTACAGAAGGAGTTCACTCCATCACGGAGGGGTAGGGTCGAGGGGGTGGTTTGGGATTGGGCCTAAATATGCATCTGTTCATTTCAGTTCCCTCTGTCCTCGTCCTCTTTAATACAGCAGCTCAGAAACAGGATTTAAACACTGATGTTAGACATTCATGCAAACACTACATCTGAATCTGATTACAAGAGAGAAAGACCGAGAGAGATTACAAAGACCAACGGCATAAACTCACTGTAAATTATTCTAATAACAATAATTATTGATAAACTAATTTACAATTTCTAATGTACCTGCAGTGACACTTAAGATAGGAATTTCAATATATATATACACATAGATATAAATACCCAATAAAACGTTCTGAATGTTGGAAATATATATTTAGTCTCATATAATGTATATTTTAATATACTTAAATATACTATATTTTGCATTTATTTTTGATGGTCTCGCTATTCTTGTAAATACATGTGATTATAGGGATCACTATATATATATATATATATATATATATATATATATATATATATATACTTTTAACATTTCAATTATAAACATTACTTTTACATTCAATGTTTATTTTAATCATTTATTTTGTATCTTGTTTATTATACTTTTTTTTCAAATGAAATGATGATGTGATTATTATCTTATTATCATACCTGAAGGAATTGTATGCATTCATAATTATCGTACCTTAAGTGTTATAGAAACTGTTTTTGTGGTATATATCTACCAATTATGAATTTTCTCTATAATAAATGTTATCAATAAGCCATTGCTGCTGTTTTTCTTGTGATTTCTGATCTTAATAATTTAAACAACATATCTTAAATCTTATATTGAAGCCTTTTAAAACCTGATATATATAGCATATTCAAATGTCATTTTTATTTTTGCCTGTACTACTTATTGCATGTTACTAATGACACTTAATGAAATCAACAGAAGAGTTATGAGTGAACTGGATTATAGATCCCAAACTTGGATTGTATCTGAACAATTAACAATATTATATGTATTTTGTCAGAAAACAACGTTACACACTTGTCCTTTAGGAGAAAGAGGAATTAAATGAATCCCTGGATCACAAACATCGCCTGTGAAAAACACACAAAGGGATTAATGAGTACAAAGATTTTCTTCTTCTTTTTCTGGATGTCACAGGTTAGGGGTAAGAAAGGCAGGAACCAAATGCAGTACAAAATAAGAGAGGCGAGTACAGGGCCAACAAGAGGCCCCACGCAAAGAGATATGATGAGGCCCTCTGTTTCGCGAGCGTCGATCGGGGGGGGTGCTAGTGGAGCCTCGCAGCGGCGAAACCGTGCCGCGCCACACTAATTGCGCCGCATTTTCGGCTCAGATGAGGCACCCTCCGCAGGATGAGGCCCGCTCTGCAAGATGAGGCCCCCTCCGCAAGGTGAGGCCCCACGCAGTCTGCATGATCGGCCGGTAGGGAGGGACGGCCCTGGGCGAGTATTACTTACAAAAAGCCAGCTTTATTAAATTAAAGCTGGTACCAAAGAAAATATCAGTTGTACCCGCTAACGTTCTTTATCGTATAGACGGTTCGTCCACACAAGGCCGAAACGGAGCCGCGGATTCGGGGAAAGTGGGTAAGTCTGAGGACGAAACGCTTGCGGCTCCGTGTGTACGCCCTTTACGATCTTTTCCTCTCCCCACCTCTCCTGCTCACCCCCGCGTCATTGCTGATGCGTTTCGCCAACAACAACAATGGCGGATCACAGGGTTGCGTTCGTGCTCCAGACGCTACCGACCATGATACCGATTTTAGTGCAAAATCTACAGCTCCTCTACCACAACCATCAGCAACAATAATAATATAATATAACAATAATAATAATCGCCATCTGTCTTATTCGCTACTTTTGGTGTATTTTGTGGCGGAAGTACAGCGCCACTTACAGGCCCGGCATATGTACTACAGCGTCCCCAGCGTTTGAGCGTTTTCGTGTGGACGGACACGTTTCTTGAGCCGTTTCCGTGTGGTCGGAAGACTTTTCTGCAGTCGACTTCGGTTCGAAATCCGTTTCGTCTCTGTGTGGACGGGGCCTAAAACAGAAGGCAAGGTAAAACAAAGGGAGACTAGCAAAACAAACGAGAGACAAACCAGCGGGAAATACAAGTCGAGAAATTGACGGGAACT